GCGGCTCCGTTAACTCTGTGCGCACTGATGCTGCCTGATGCATTGCTCTTCCCGGGCATGTTTACTAATGCGGAGATGGGCTCCTTCCCCAGGTGTGTGGAATAGATATTGGCTTTCCAGGGGAGCCACAACTACCAGGAAGTTTTTCCTCTTTTGAAAAGATGGTCCTGCTTTCTGAAGTTGGTTTCCTTCTGTTTAATGCATTTAGCTTTTTTCCTTTAAGCAGCTCTGTGCACTTGTTCTCGTGTATGTGCTGTGCACTAGTCCTTCATCACTCCTTTTTTTTTTTTTTTTTTTTTTTAAAGCACGGTTATGAAATGATTTCAGCAGGGAAGTGCCTGCTGGAGCATTGCTCCTTTTTTACCTGGTCTTTACATTTCCTGTGGTGATCGGCTGGGAGGGGGGAGCACAAGCAAAGACAATGACTGCATTTTCCCCGCGTTCAGATCTGAGCTTACAAAAATGCACGGCTGGCCCTTGGTTCGGCTTTAATGCTCAGATACTGTGTCACAAAATCCCGAGAAAGACAGTAATACCTGGAGCTCCAAGAGCCATGCTGTGCCATGAGAAATGAATGTGAATCTCTCCTGTTTGGTGGTTTAAAGTATATGCAGGACATGTCTCCAGGGAATTCAGGTTCTCCATTTGAGGACAACAATCTGTATGTAAGTCCTTGCTCGTCATGTTAATTGGCCTTTTGCCTCATTAAAGGCAAGGTGCGGTGCTAGTTATACTTAGCTCTATAATGAACATATGTTTGATCCTTGTTGTTGTTGTTGCTGTTGTTAACTGGATGTTTCTGGGGTAAATACTTTGCCGTTCAGGACGTTGATAGCAGATTGTGAACGCAGATCCGCCTCTTTTTTTAGCTACCCAAAAGATAAATTTAGAAGATCGCATTACCTGGGAGAAAGGAGGAACCTTGCACATCATAACATGTTGTTGAGGAAAATGGGCTAGGACTGCGTATGAGAAAACTAATTTGGGAGACACTAATTTCATGAATATCTGTATGTGGGCCATCGTGGACGTAGAGGATTAACTAAAATAGCTGTTGCGGAGAAAAAAGAAAGGTAAATGGGGGAATTCCTTGGGACTGTGATCTCACAGTCAGGTAGGAGAATAAAAAAAAAAACAGGCTGCTTTTTTCTCTTGTTAGACAAGAGGAATTCCAAACTTGCACATCTCTGAGCAGCCAGATATGGCTTTAAGAAGAAGGGAGGCTGCTCAGTTGTTTCCTGGATCAGGCCCAAAGTGTTTATGTGTAGGCTGATGTAACAACAACTGAAGGGATGTCATTCTGCCCATGACACCTTCTTGGATCTGAAAATTTTGTTTCTGTATTTTTGACCACCTGAACAGGCCTCCTGGCTAAGGGACTCTGCAGGTTGTTGGGATTGTTGCCTTGGCAGAGTTATATTGCATGCTGTGGGAAAAAAAAAAAAGAAAGAAAGAGAGAAAGAAAGAGAGA